GCCTGGGTAGGAGCGCTTGAGGCCGCGGGGGTGCCTGGGACCCACTTCGCCTCCTTTGGAGGCGAGTTACGGACCCCGGTCCTGTCCCTTCCCAGCGTGGGGTCCTGGGGGGTTTTGGGGCTTGCCTCTCGAAGAGGGGAGTGTAGAGATGTGGGTCCCTAGGAGATCCTGCCCCCATGTGTGGTCCTTTTGCCGTGTGTGTGGGCCCTCAAGGTAGGTGGGCTGCAGGCTGCTGCATGGTAGGGGCTGGGAGAGGCCTAGGCCGGAGCTGGCCCTTGGGGCTGGAGCAAGGCCTCTGCGCCAACCCATCCCCCCAGCAAGGGGAGCGGGGGCGGGGGGCATGCCTGAGCTCTTGGCCGGGTCATTTACAGGATGGGCTGTGGCCCTGGTTTCCAGTGAGTTAGACCAGCTGAGAAGTGAGTAAAAATGAAACTGAACTTTGTTCGATGGGAGGTGGAAGAACTGCTGGTAACGTGTGCAGAAGAGATAATCTAGTTACAGATTAGCCCCAGTGCCTCCTCGTGTCCTGCTTTGCTCAGCATGACTATATGCAAATAATCCCAGGTGTCCAAAGATTAATTAGCTTGTGAGTTTAAACTTCCGACACCCCTGGCTTGGGTGGAAGGGAGTTTTGGGAGGAGAAATTCTCCTGGACAGTGTGTTTGGGTTATAGCTATTCTAATGTATTTTGCCTACTTCTTATGAGTCCTAGAATAGCCATAGAAACTTGAACCCCAGCGCCTGGGCTTGGATAAGCAGGTGTCCTCACTGCAGTGTGTCCTGGGAATGGACTGGAAGTGAGAACTGACCATTTTTACCTGGTTTTGTGTAACTCAGAAATGAGCTGGTTTGGGTCTAGCCTGAGTTGTTGGGGTGGCGGGACTGAGCTCCTGGCCTCAGGGCTCATGCTGGGACTGCTTTTGGCGCACCACACCACACCACATCTGATCCCACATCAGGACGGTGCCTGGCGCAGAACGGTAGTGTCTGCATCTTCTCCTGAGATGGCAAGTGGTGAAATGCCTCCTTTCTTGCAGGAGGCTGTTCCAGTTTTGAGTGTGGTGTTTTGGGTTTTTTTTAATGCAAAGGGCTTCAGGTACTTCCTCATGTCCTTAGCTGTGCTGATGCTTAAGACTGTGGGTTCAGTTACCCTGGCCAAATTTATGGATGGGCTTGTTGAACAAGCCATGCTTGGGAGGAATGTTCAGACCAACACAAGCTGGTGTTGGTATCTGAGACTTCTGCAGGGACGGTTATCTTCATGTGTGCAGAAAAGGCACGGGCTTCAGGAAGGCTTCCTGTTAGTTTGAGCAACAAGCAATGCCTTTCAGTTTCATGAAGGCTTGTCTTGTTTGCTTATTCATGAGAGGGCACTGCAGGTCAAACTGGGGAATTCTGTTGTTCCAGTCACTAAAACCCAATTAATAAAAAGGCGACATGTCTGCCTGGCTGTAGGTGACTGTCCTTTGTTTTTGGCTTGAGGGGCAGGGCTTGTGTCAGGCTGCAAAATTACTTCTGTACTGTGGCTCTGACGTGGTGAGGCTTTAAAGCCCTTGTGAGATAGGGGAGTGTGACGTGCGCAGAGGCGGCAGCTGTGCCTGAGGTGGGGAGGAAGGAACTAGAAATGGGTTATGGGCTGTTTTTTGTCTGGTCCAGGCGAGTGTGAGCAGCAAAGCGCTCTGCAGAAGCAGGCAGGTACTTGCTTTCCATCCCTGACACTTGGTAGTGACTCTTAACAGCTGTTGGACCTAGAGTGTGGGGGCTGCATCTTCTCACTGGTTGCCTTGTGGGGTATTTGGCGTTGTGTGCATGCCTGCTTCTAAACCAACATCTCTTGCAGGAATGCTTCGGAAACTGGAAATCCAGAAAGAGGAAGATCTGCAGTCAGTGTGTGAAGTGGCTGCCCATGTGTTCAGTGATGGAGTAACAAACTGGGGTCGAGTGGTGACGCTCATCTCGTTCGGTGCCTTTGTTGCGAAACACCTGAAAAGCATAAACCAGGAGAGGTGCATCAGCTCGCTGGCAGGGATCATCACAGATGCACTTGTCTCATCTAAGCGCGAGTGGCTAATGAGCCAGGGAGGCTGGGTAAGTCACTGCCTATCCCAAACACTGCGAGCTTTTCAGAACAATCCAGTATTTTCCTATTTCTGTGGCCTGCTCACTGACAACCATGTGTGTCAGCAAAGCACAGAAATGACTCACTGCTCCAGTTAAAACCACAGTCTGAAACATGTAGCTGGAGTTCTGGTGTTTCAGGAGCTCCTTACAATGAGCTGCCTGAAGCAGTCTTAACCTAAAAATGTGCCCCTGCCCAGCATGGAGGGGGCAGCATTCCCAAAGCCAAGTCAATCCCTGGTGTGCTGAGCTTGCTTGGAGCTGGTCCACAGCTGCTTTGGTGCTGTCTCCTGATTGCCGCTTCTGTGGGCCAAGCTGTGGCTGTAATGATTCTGGGGGACTGCACCACAGTGGATGTGCTGAGCAGGCTGTATCCCAGCCCACTCTGCCAGGGAAAAAGGCTTTCCATGCCTTCCTGTCAAAGAAGGGTGGATGGCAGAAAAATGACTTTCCCTTCTTTCTTCTAGGAGGGCTTTGTTGACTTCTTTCGAGTCGAGGACCTAGAAGGCAGTATCAGAAATGTACTGATGGCGTTTGCAGGTGTGGCTGGACTAGGAGCAAGCTTGGCGTACATGATCCGGTGAGCCAGGGTATGCTGCAGAGGGACACAACTCTGGGTGGACTGGCTCTGTTTGGGGCTGGCAAGCTGATCACTTCCTACTGTGAGTGCTTATGAAGCTGGACTTGAGTGACCGAAGGAAAATATCTAGGCATCCCCTGAGCAATCCTTTCTGTAGAAGGAAGGTGTGATCTGGTCAGATTGCAGGTACCAATGAGGATTTATTGCTTTGGGAACAGAAAGTGGAAGAATTGATATTCTACTTCCTTCAAGAGGATGATGACAGAAAGCTGAAGTGGACTGCTTCAGTTTTATCCCGGAGGGAACCAATCTGCTTAGCAGCAAGCCATTGAGCACCAGCAGCTCTTGTCTGGACTGAAGCCTCCTGGGCTTGGCACGGCAGCTGTGTGTGGAGCAGATGTTTCAGGGTTGTGGGTTTCTGGAAATAGCATCTTCTGCTGATGGTGTCCTGCCTGAACTTGCGGCTTTTCTGTTGGAGCAGAAGCATTGAATGCTGGGTGTTGTGTGAGCCTGTGCCTACACCCAGGTGTGCTGGCAAGGGAGCCTTTGGTTGCTGCTGGCTCTGCACGCATCTGCCCTCTGGAATTGGTAGAGCTGTGCCAGCAGCCAAGATGTGCGACCTGCTGCCAGAACATGGGGTGCTGGAGCCCTGCTTAGCCCCTTCCTTCTCAGCAGGGCTTCAGCCAGGTCACTGAGCAGGCAGAGGGGTGGGTGGGGTGGGGGGGATGGGTGAGGTGGGGCTTGAGGTGGTAACCACAGCCAGCTGCAGCTTGGCTGCATTGGCCTGTCTGGCTGATCTCTGCTACACTGATGCGACTCACCACACACAGGCAGTTTAAAAATAGGGAGTACATTTGTAAGTATGTAAAACCCCACATGGGGTGGGGAGGCTATAGAGAACCTGTAAATATCTATAAATCTGTAGAATATGTACATTTTTACAGAGCTAATGATACAAAAAGGAGGAATTTTGAATGTGGTAGAACTGCTTATGGATGCATTGCACTTCATTCCTCATGTGAAGTAGCATTTTTGTGGCGAAGCCTTTTCCTGCCTTGACTCCAATTGAGCCTTTCTCTGATGTACTTGAGCAACATTGCAAGGGAGCATAACACGGATTAGTGGCCTGGTGGACTCTCATTGTGCCCATGGCTTGCTGGCAACAGTTGATGTTTCTGTTTATTTTAATCTTTTTGGTTATTCTAGCCCTTCTAGTGGGTGGGGAGCTGTGGAAGTTGGTATCGGTCACTTCCCTGTCTTCCCTTCATTTTGATCCTCTAAGCCATGAGTGGAACGAAGCTGATGTTTGAATGTAAATGTTCTGGAGCAGAATAAAACTCGTTGGCTCGGATCCACACCTTGTGCAAGTCCATCAGTGCCGGCCCTGGGCTCAGTCCTTGATCCCCAGCTGGTAACATTGCTTCTTGGTGGGCTTGCAGTGCTCATCCATCTTGTGCCCTCTGACTGTGGATTGGTTGGTTCTTGGGAGCTCTACTCTGTGGGATTGGGTCCCACACAGCAAGGAACATCCTCATCCACAGTGCTTGACCTGCAGCCCAAGTGATGCCCAATGGAAACCCAAGTGGAGAGCTGAAAGGTGGTGCTATTGTCAGGCCTGCTTGTTTGCTGAACGAGCACTTAGTTTTGTCAAATAAATGTCTCTTGTTCTCATTCCTCTAGTATAAAACTTGCTGTTTCCTATAATGAGATGCTGACATGCTGAATGTTCTTGCTCTGCTTTGCTGGTGTGGGCCTGTTTGCACAGATGCTGCCTGTGGGGCACCCCACAGCCTCTTGCTTATTAGAAAGATAAGCTGTGGGCTATGGAAAACTGCTCTGGGTGTCTTGTGTAACCCATCGGGGCTCCCCAGAGCTGCTGTGTACTGAGATGCTCTTCTCCGTCACTGTGTACGTGGGTGGGGAAAGTCCATGAGGTGCCTCATGCTCAGTGCCTGCATACTTTGAAACAGGTTTTCTTGTGGCGCTCTGAAGCGTGCTGTGGCGGTCTGGCTGCCTGCGCTTGGCAGCTGGGGCTTACCACCCTCTGTATCAGTGAGGCGGGGGCCTGCAGCCCTGAGGAGAGGGGACTCTTTCTGGAGCCTGGGGGTGAGCTGTGCTGCTTGCCCTTTCCAAGGGGGGAGACACTCTCAGTGGCTTCGGTTGTCTAGCATAGTCTTGTCCCTCCTCTGATGCCTCCTTAGGGGGACCCTGCTCCCCCAGACTGCTCTGTGCCCTCCATCACCCAAGTTTTGATGCCTGCAAGTTGGGGATGGAGGAAGTGCGTGGCCTGCCTGAGGCCAGAGGGCACAGCCCAGTTATGTGCAGACCTTGCTTGGGCAGTGGTTTGATGAACAGCTTCCTCTTGCCAGGACCGGGTTCTGCTGTGGAAGCCTTGGCTGGAAAATCCCCCCCCACAAGGGGCAAAGCACTTCCCTACCCCAAAAACTGTGCTGGTGGCTCCGGCTTTGTGGGCTGTCAAGCCTTGCTGCAGATGGAATGAGGCAGGGGAGAGGCGACAGCTTCCTGCAGTGCTGGTGAGGCCCTTGCTACTGAAAACGAGCTGGTGGCTCAGCCCTGTTATGCAGATATTGCAAAATGTTTTTTTTGGTGTGGGTTTTTTTTGTTGTGTTTTTTTTGGTGTGGGTTTTTTTTGTTGTGTTTTTTTTTTCTTTATGCTGTGTCTTTGTGGGCTATTTTGGGCCTGTTTGGTCCCCTGGGATGTGGCGGGGCCCTCATGCAAAGCTGGGCCTTTGCCATGGAAATATGCAAAGGTGCTGGCAGGCTCAGAGGGGGTCGGGGCTGCTGGTGTTTCCTGGAAGCCACAGTGCTCTGATAAGGCCTGACTCGGTGCCGATAAACCAGGGGCTTCCTCTTCCGCTCCAGCAAGGGTTTTTCGCAGAAGCCGGCTTTGACTTCTGTGAACCTTTTGTGTAAATAAGAGGGTGTGGGGGGGGAATTAAAGTGGCCGCCGTGTCTGATGGTGTGTGTGGGGGGGGCTGCAGGTTAGGGGTGTGTTCAGCACCTGGCCTGGCCGATTTGGGGTCCCCCTTTGTGTGGGACCCTTGGGAAAGAGGGCAGGTGGGCATTTCTCACCATCAGCTGGGCTTTTGGGCACTGCCCCGTGGTGGGAGGGGAAGTGTTGGAAAAGCAGCACCCTCCTCTCCTGCTGCCTCCTCTGTGCCAAATGGGACTGAACCACGATCTGGCCCCACTGCCTCTGGTGGGGAGGGTGTTTGAAAGCTTGCATTGACAATGCTTGTGTGGGTGGGGGGGCACATGCAAATGCAGAAAATCCCCGGCTGAGCAAAAAAAAAAAAAAAAAAAAACCCAATTCCTGCCCATTTCTGGCTCGGTGGCTCCAACCATGTGTTGGGGGCTTGGATAATATTTCATGTTATTTCTCACGACAGGAGCCTGGGCTGCTTTTGCCCCAAATGTGCCCTTTTCTTCTCTGTGAGGTTCCAGGAGGTCAGGGGGGCTGCTTGGTGGCTGTGCCCCTATCTTGCTGGCATAGGCTTCCCCTTACAACCTGGCCTGCCCCTGCTGCCATCTTTGGGGCAGGGTGGTGCAGCCCCCTCTCAGAACTGATGTCGTGGGGGTGGGGGGGAGTATGGAGCTGGGTCCATGAGGAGCCCCTGGGAGTTGAGTCAGGCGCACTGGGCAGGGACAGAAGAGCCCCCCTGCCCCCACAAGGGACAGGTTCTTGAAACAGAGAGACTCTGGGGGGGGAGAGGGGCTTCCTGGAGCAGCACTGTTCCCCCAGAGAAATAACCCTGGGGTTATCAGGATGGCCACAGGTGGGTGCTGGGGCCTGCCCCCTCCCCTGGGATTGTCCCTGTGGGGGGAGGCCACTGGGTGTGGGGGCGGGTGACTCATTTGGGCTGAGATGACAAGTATTTGGTTGTTGGTTTCGGCAGGCATGGGGTCGGGATGTGTCACTGCACTCCTGTAATGAGCCTGTCAGGCCTCAGCCCCCCAGCTCCCCGTGGAAGGGTGTGTGGCCAGGCCAGCTGGGTGGTTGCCTGGGGTCCCATCCCATCCCCCCAGGGAAGGGATGTTGAGTTCTGGTGGGCTCCCATCCCCTCCCCAGGCTGAGCCCAGGGGTTGGCCCCACTGCCTCCACCAACTCTGGCCTCTCTTGGGGTGCCACGGCCGGGTGTCAGGGTGCACCCTTGGGTTCTGGCCCGCCCGGCGAAGCTCTGCCCAGCAACAAGGGCTGCTAATAGCATCTGGGGAAGTCACGTGGGCCTCTTCCAGGAACCCAGGCTTTCGGTGGCCCATCCCCCTCCCAGGCCCTGGGGTGACACCAGCGTGGTAGCAGACATGTGCCCCCCCACACCTTCCCTGGCTCACAAGCCTGGCCCTGGGCAGGAGGCTGCCCCGACAAAGGCCTCCCTCTTCCTCCTCCTTGCCTGGATGCCTCATTCTCCCCCAGCATGGGGGTTATGAGGGGTGTAGGGTGTGTGTGGTGAGGTATGGGGGTGTAAACACTGTGAGTGTGGGGTACAGGGGTGTTTGTGGGGCTTTAGGGAGTACAGGATATGGGGGTTATAATGTGTATAGGGTGTGTGTATAGGCAGAGGGGGCATACAGGCTGTGGGTGGGGCTCTGCAGTTACAGGGTTTATGTGTGTGGGGGGGGCATAGAGGTGAGTGGGGGTATGGGTGCTTAGACGTGTATATGCACTGATTGGGGTGAGAGGAGGAGGGTTTGGGTATGTGTGTGTGGGGCTGGCCCAGCTGCAGGGCATGGGGTGGAGTGGGGCTGGTGTGGGCCTTGTGTGGTGCCAGCGTGGGGCTGCTGTGGGGCTGTGGCCACAGATCTGCCCAGGCAGGAGCCGGCAGTGACTCAGGCAGGAATGTGCTGGCAGGACATGGTGTTCTGGCAGCACCCAAGCCCGTGGCCAGCACCCAGCCCCACGGCCAGTCCCCAGCCCTGCATCTGGCATGCTGCTAACAGCCTCACGGCCAGCACCCCTGAATAGCCCTGCCCCACTTGGC